TATGCAGAATTCTGACAATAACAAACTATAAAGCATGATAAACCTAAATATAAGTCAGGTTCTGCGCTCCTCTTTCCTACGCCAAAGTATTTAAGAGTACTAAGAGTGAAACGCCTCTGTTGCTTCCAGCTGTAGCCATTATTGAAGGTTACACCTGTTGCCAGACATTACATGAAAGATGTGATATTTAGAGAGTGTTAGAATGTCATTTAAAGGTATTCTCCGAACATGTATACCTTGGCACTTAATTATTCTTTTGAGCACATCATTGGTTGGACGGCCTGTGAAAATGTTTGCATGATCAATAAGAGTTTTCTTGACCATACTGTAGGTATTCACAACAACAGTGTTTAAGTTTCCCAGACGCAAGCTGAAAATGTTACCATAATGGTCTGACATCTGCAGGGAAAGAAACAACATGAAAAAAAAATAAAAAGTGAAAAATAATCAGGGTTACAGGGATTAAGATATCAGGCCTCAAAATGCTGTCAGACTTAGAAATCACAACAATAAGAGGCTGTGAATTACCTTAGTTAAATGAATATGTGGTTGTTTAGCATCCAGGTTGACAGCATTCCCAATAAAAGGGAGAGGTGTGGGTCCAGGGGGATAGTTTCTAGGCTTTCTGTTTCTCAGATGGTCTGAGATCAGCAGAAAGATGACGAACATCAGTAATACGGTCCCTACATCTGTCCACTGCACTGAGGCTAAAGACAACAAAATATTCTCCAAGACCATTTTCACGCGTTTATCCCCTTTATTCTGCACTGAGAAACGTGACTACGCGAAAAGTTTGGCTTTAATTTGTTTACTTCCTGGTTCACTTTTGTTTTCAACAACGTGCAACAAACATTTCGAACACCTGATATTCGGAGAGAGACCTGTTCGTGAACGAATCGGTGTTTCTGAATGATTTTTTTTAAAGGTAACGTTAAACGAATCGTCCAGTCCATGCTCATATTTTTATACACGGAATCTTCCTTATGTAACTTGACTGATTTTCTGCTTTGAATGACCGACACTAGCGCGAACAAATAGCATTCTAGTCCAAACTGTGTAGGACCATTTCATTGGCTGGGTCTAATGAATACCGCCCCCTGCACTGAGCTACACGAGATGTTTCGAGTCTGTGAGGTGTATGCCTACTGAACGAGACATGAAAAATAAATAGCATGATATAACTCATTTCTAGCGGTCGACCAAATAAAAAATAAATAAATACGTAAGTAAAATAAAATAAAAATGGATGAACTGCTTTGCTTTCGTTTGTGGGACGCTCTCTTTCCGATAGGCTATATCTCTTAATATGTAGACGCGCAATTTTTTAAATAACGGTTTATTTGATTAAATTATCAAATGACTCATTCACAAACACACAAAACATACGCGCACACACAACAATCACGTCGCCAACTACTTGTGTTACTGTGTAACCTGCAGGAAAGACAACAAGTAATCAGTGAACTTATTTAACGAATATAAAAAAATCGAAATGAAATGGCTAGTGACGTGGGGAACAAGACACTGCGGGTTCCTTCCTTTAGATCTGAGGTAACAATTCATCAGATTCTCCCTTTAACACTGTTTTGAAATTGGAAATGATTATTAAGTAGCCTATATGAAATCCAAGGTAAGATGTTAATTTATCCCATGTTATTACAGATTCTTTTGACAAATGTAGGTGTTCAAATATTGATATAGTAATAAGGGTCTGTTTCTCCCTCCTTCATGGAATATTTCTCCTCTCCTTTCCTTACTTTTTTTCAGCAGGGCCTCCTAAGCATGGAGAGGGGGTCAACAGTCTCTGTGTGAAAGGCGGGGCCTGGTTTCACTGCCAGTTGCATTGCTCAAATGACGACCGTTTCCCAGTCAAGCATAAGCATTTATAGACTGCAGCTATCCAGTACTCTGACATTCTCTGACAAAGGGAATGTGCCATTTTCTTCAACATGATCCTGCAATTTATATATGAAAGCTTTGACTTTAAAAGCTGGATCATTTTATGCTTTGTTTTACTGCTTCTTGTAGATATTATCAAATATAGGAATCCTTCCAGTTTCCCCCCGGGACCCTGGCCTCTACCATTCCTGGGAAATGTCTTCACTGAGATAGATTTTAGGAACGTGAATAAGGTAGGAGCAAATTGCATAATTTATTTGCATGCCAATTTATGTTATTTTTAGACAGATTTTTTGGTGGATGTTATCAAATTGATATTATATTATATTATATTATATTATATTATATTATATTATCGAATACCTGTTAATATAAATATATTTTGAATTTCAGTTGGCTGAAGTCTACGGGACCATATTCAGCTTAAGAGTGGGCAGTGAGAAAATGATAATTGTTTCTGGATATAAAATGGTAAAAGAGGCCCTCATTACTCAGATTGACAGTTTCGTTGACCGTCCAAATGTCCCTCTGTTTCACAAAGTTTTTAAGGGAATCGGTAAGTACACTGACCATAATGACATTTAAGCTTAAAATTAAGGTTCATTATTCACTCAAATAGTATTGAAATTCTTTCATTCATTCATATTATGAAGGTACGATACTGAGTAATGGATACCTGTGGCGGATGCATAGGAAGTTTGCTGTCTCCCATTTGCGGACCTTTGGAGAGGGGAAGAAAAGCCTTGAGCTCAGAATTCAACAAGAATGTGTCCACCTTTGTAATGCTTTTAGGGCAGAAAAGGGTATGGTCTAAGTGTCTGGAGAGTTCAATTTTCATGAATTTTATGAATAGAATAAAAAATGATTTGGAGAGAAAAATGTATATATATACTTATGTATACATGTTTTTTTTTTTCAAACAGGACCTTTTAACCCCATGGTCACCTTGAACAGTGCTGTCTCAAATATCATCTCCTGCTTAATATTTGGACAACGCTTTGAGTATCATGATGAATGTTACCAAAAAATTCTGCGTCTTGATACTGAATGCATTCAGTTAATAGGCTCTCCTAGAGCACAGGTACTGATTCATAATAGCATTCTTAGACTCTACTTTCATAACCTTTGAGTTCATTGTAATAAAAATCTGTATTCATCACCCATTATGTCATCTTTCACAGCTGTATAATGTGTGTCCTCGGCTCTTGGAATATTTACCTGGCCCCCACCAGACAATTTTTTCCAACTATAAGCAAATAACAGACTTCCTGAGAGGAGAGATCATTAAACACAAAGAGGACTGGGACCCTTCAAACCCACGTGACTTAATAGACAACTATCTGACTGAGATGGAAAAGGTAACTAAAGTTGGATTTTATTTCGTTAAGCTTTTAAAATACAAACAAGGTACATTTCCAGGCAACTACCATTTGATCAACCTAAGGCTGTTTTGATAAGAGAGTTTTTGCATATTTTTATATTGATTCCCACCTGTGCAGAAAAAGAGTGATCCTGAGGCTGGTTTTAACATTGAAGGGTTAGTAGTGACTTGTCTAGACCTGATTGAGGCCGGGACAGAAACCGCAACTACAACATTGCGCTGGGGTCTGCTTTTTATGATCAAGTTCCCAGAAATCCAAGGTGAGTATTGATTTTTAAAACAGGAATGATCATGGATCTTCTTTTGAAGCATGCGGGTTATATGCCATCTGCAAGTTAGCTTAGAAATGCATCAGGTCCAGGAGTTTTCCATGAACGAGTTGTCTAAAAACACACACATTATACAAGTAATATTTGTATTTCCCATTCAGAAAAGGTCCAGGAAGAGATAGACAGGGTGATTGGACAGTCGCGTCAACCCTGTTTGGCTGATAGAGTTAATATGCCCTATACTGAGGCTGTTATCCATGAGATACAAAGATTTGGAGATGTTGTTCCACTGGGATTCCCTAAAAAAGCTGTTAAAGACACAACACTAAGAGGATACTTCATTCCTAAGGTATGAATTATATTCTTTTCTATTTACGGGTGTAGTCCTGTCTAGAACAGTGAAGTTGGCATTTTCTCTTTATTAGGGCACCTCTATTACAATAAACCTGTCTTCAGTCCTGCATGATCCAAACGAATGGGAAACCCCAGACACCTTTAACCCAGGACACTTCCTGACTGAAAATGGCCAGTTTTGGAAGAGAGATGCCTTCATGCCATTTTCAGCAGGTAATGTGCAAACATTTCATCTGATATAACTTCTAAAAAGTGATATGCTTGTATTTAATTATTTTTATTGACTTCGGGTGAGTGAATAATTGTTGTCCATGCCACGTTAGGATTTTTAAGTTTAGCTGATGGCAACTTCTCACAGGTAAGCGAGCGTGTTTGGGAGAGCAGCTGGCTCGTCAGGAGCTCTTCTTATACTTCACCTCTCTGCTGCAGCAATTCACCATCTCCAAATGTCCAGGAGAGGAACCCAGTTTGGAGGGAGAGATATGGTTCACATATGCTCCTGCTCCCTACCGTATGTGTTTGTCCTCACGTTAGAGCAGTGGTTACCCCCAGCACTGCACATTTTGTATGTCTCCCTATATCTGACACACCCACTTCAGGTCTTGCAGTCTCCACTAATGAGCTGATGAGTTGAATCAGGTGTGATAGATGAGGGAGACATACAAAATGTGCAGGGCAGGGGGTACTCCAGGACAGGTTTGAGAACCACTGCGTTAGAGTATACACATACATTTTTTTTGTAGCATGTTTATGGATATCTGTTATGATAGAATATCTACTACCAAGTATGTAAGTTTTCATTCTTTATGTTACCATTAAGTAGGCTTCATAGTGGTGGTTTATCTTCACAGTGTTTTAATACTAATACCTATTTGTTCTGATCTACAAATGTATGTCATATATCACAACATGTATTCATAAAAACTGTATACTGTGTGTGATTTACTAAGCGCTCTTTTGATGTTTATGTAAATAAATCACAACTGGGCAAACCATTTGTTGCAATAAATATCTCTGTTACGTAGTTTTAAAAATGCAATGTCATTGCAGTAGTCATTGTGATTCTTAGATTCAAGTTAATAATTATTCATATTCACCCTTGAACTCAGTAATGAGCTTGCAATTATTGTACATATTAAAATGTACCAATGTATATGAAAGCATGGAAAAAGATAAAGAGCAGCCAAATGATGTTACTATATGTACATATACGATTAAAGCTGCAGAAAGAAAGTATTAACATAGTTTTAAACCTCTAGTGCAGATGCCGACATGTCAGGCCAGATCGTGATGTTGTCCATGTGTTTGTAATATCTTATGCGCTTATCATTAAACTTTTACTTTTGATAAATGTGTTTCCATTGGGTTTCGTTCTCCACCTTCATAGAATCTGGAGTTCCTTATGTAATATCTTTCTACTCCTCCCTTCCAGTATTTACATCTCCCAGTCCTGTTCAAAAGTACACTGAACAAAATTATAAACGCAACACTTTTGTGGCCTTTTATTGTGGCCAGCCTAAGGCACACCTGTGCAATAATCATCAATTATCTCGGCCAAGGAGAAGTGCTCACTAACACAGATTTAGACAGATTTGTGAACAATATTTGAGAGAAATAGGCCTTTTGTGTACATAGAAAAAGTCTTAGATCTTTGAGTTCAGCTCATGAAAAATGGGGGCAAAAACAAAAGTGTTGCGTTTATAATTTTGTTCAGTGTATTTATACCAATAATCATTTACAAACCACAGAGCTCAAATAAGACAAAGAGCACCTGCCATTCCTCTACCACCATGATCCTGCACTTGATTTATGACAAATTTGATTTTAAAAGCTGAATCATTTTATTTTTTGTATTTCTGCTCCTTGTTGATATGATCAAAAACAAGAATCCTTCCAATTTCCCGCCAGGACCCTGGCCTGTGCCTTTCCTGGGAACTGTCTTCACCAAGATGGATTTTAGGACCATGGCTAAGGTGGGAGCTAAATTCATATGGTTTTAATTTGCATGTATGTCAATTTAAAGCCATTTTAGAGATGATTTAATTTATTGCATTGTTTCTGGACTTTTTGTAAAGAAAATAGTAACTATCAATGTTCCTGATTGATATAAATAAAATAAAATAAATATTTTGAA